AGATCGTCGAATAAAGAACAATACAGTGATGGATCCAAACAAAGCGAGTCCTATGACTGGCCACTGAGGTCGGACGCTTTCCACTCGGCGAAGGTGGAACGAGTGGGGCGGATTGATCAACTCTCCTTGAAAACATACTTTTGAGTCGAACTTCATATTTTTTTTTTATTTTAAAAGTCCTTGCCGTAGACAATATGGGTAATTTGTTTAAGCGTTTAGTAGGTACTCGTATTTCGATATGTTACAAAGTATATATATATTTTTATAAGAAGACATATACTTTTGAGTAGGCGTCTTTGTATACAACTCTCTGTTGAGTAAATAAAATACTATTATGTACACGATTATTAACAAGTTTAATTTAAGTAAGCTAGGAATAAAAAGTACTGCAACAAAACTTATTTTTTTTTGTAGGATACCAAACGCTTCAGATTGAAAGAATGCTCAGCGACTACTAATAAATAAACATCTAAAGTAATTCCAAATAATGTATTGTTAATACAAGAACTTAATAATTTATCAACCGATTTCAAAAAGAAAGAGGTTCTCATTTTTCTTTTTTTTTATGTTTGCCACCACACAACTCCGTAAGTTTTAAACTGATTAGGAAAATTCTTTTTTAATTTGAAAGGATGTACATACATATTTTATCAAAATCGGTCCAGTAATTTAGTTTTTAGATGAAAATAAATACTTTGTCAAAATTGAAGTCGGTTTTTTTTTTGTGGGACACAACGTTTAATTATTTTAATACTGATTTCTGATATATCTACGAGTAGATAAGACAGCCAGATTCTACATTTATATATTATATTAACACAGATTTTAATATATTTTATATATGTCGTGATATATAAATAATAGAAAAAGTGGAACGATGATGAGTTTTTTTACTTTTGGAGATATTTTATTGACTATATTTTTAATTAGTCAATATTACCTACATATAATTATACATATACTACAATATAAGCTAACGAGCAAAAATGATTGATAGTTTCACAAAGGTAAAGTTTATAAAGATATGCAGGCGGATTACTCTCATGTTGCCAATCCTGAAACGTTAGGGGGGGGGGGGGAAAGGGATTGTTAATAATGGAGTTTGACAGCCCCATTGCTAGCAATATGCCTTATTAGATCGACCTCCACGTGGTTCCCCCTGAAACCATCGTGAACAATTCTTGTTGAATTCGTCACGATGGGCTAACTGACCTACTTCATCCTCACCTATCATCCTTCACTGGTGCCCCGCCGGTGTATACCAATAGCGCGGGTGGGGTTACCATTCCATTATCATCCATTAAAAAAAATCCTGAAATGTTTTTTAAAGAACCCCATACTTTAATCTCTTGGAAAAACTTCGACAGAGAGCTCATTCTATAATCTGAGCATTCGTAGGAGTAAACATCTCTGAAACCGCTGTACGCGACCATCCAAACTCTAAGATATGAGTGTGAACTCCCTGTCGATGGTGAGCTGTATAATGGTAGAAAGTGGCATCATATTGAACAATTCCTTTGAGCACAGTCCATTGTACAGTTGTTATATGATGTTCTTTATTTAATTCATACATGAAGTTATTTCTCATGATTATAAATAGATACATCATATTTGAAAGACACAATATTAATAAATACAATATAAACTGATTTACAAATTTTATTTTACACAACAAAGGACGTAACATCACTAGTACATGTAGCTAATTCTCTACCATTCCCATAGTGACCCAATATGTAATTTAAAATAAACTAACTTTGGCCCAAACGATGGCACAAGACAAGGCATAAGACGATTCATAGACCTCGAATCGGCTGAAAGAGAGCGGAAAAATAGCGTCAAGGTCACTACAAGTTGCGCCACACACGTCCAGCCAACTGGAAACTGCATGTGCTATATGGTTGATGTATACAATCATGTATATTTACATACAAAAGCAAACTATTTACTACATACAGACAAATTTATTAGTGTCACGGCAAATGCTACGAGATCGTAGCGCTACATTTTACGTAGTGCTTTATTGATTTAAACTTTGAAATCATAGATAGATATATACTCTTTATTATTTCTACTAAAAGATTTACTCTAAATGCAGTAATCCTTACTAATTTTATAAGTGTGAACATAAGTGTGTTTATTTGTTACTTCTCTGCCCTTTAACTGTTCACCATCACGAAATTGGAGGGGAAAAGAATTGTTAGTAATGGAGACTGAGAATCCCATTGCTAGCAATATACCCAACCAGGTCGACCTCCTCGCGGTTCTCCCTGGAAACTATCATGGTTAATTCCTGATGAAATTCATCATGATGGGCTAACTGGCCTGTTTTCATTCTCATCTATCACCCTTCATTGGTGCTCCGCCAGCGTATCCCGTTAGCGCAGGCGGGGTTACCATATCATTTTCACCGATTAGTTATAATAATTATAATATAGGGTTATAATAAAAGATTACTGTTCATCTTGATTACGTCAACGAAATCGTAGGTAAAGACTATAGATTGTAACATATGTATATTAGTCTAAAACATATAATAAATCACTAACAGCTTAATCTCAGAACAGAAGGTGTGTATCTCCACTAATTCGCTACGTGTGTAGTTATTAATATCAATGATATAACATCAATTGGAGGTGTAAATTGGTACAGAAACCTTTGAACGTGAGCTGGGGACCACCCGTGTTAACGATGTCGAAGAGGACTCTTGTCTATTTAGCTAATTTATTATTTCAGTAGCTGCGCCCGCGCAGTCAAAACATCCCGCCACGATGATTTATAACACAATAAACACGCTGTTTTATATCTAATGGAAATGGGCTTTTACATATGAAATTACGCAGCCACCCCCTCGATTGTAAAATTTTGATTAATTATTATTTAGTGTTTGTTACAATATTTTTTTTATAATTTTAATGTTGTAATAAATACTGTTGTTATTTCTTTAATACGTTTGTCCTCAATTTATAGAGGAAATTCCAATAAAAATTAATGCTTTGTTTTTTTTTTCATCCATTTGAGTACTGAATATTTTATTATTATATAGTAAGGCTCTTTTAGAGTTATGACCAAAAAGTATAAAATAAGAAGCCTGTAATAAACTTCAGTGCTGTCTGTAGTATATTATGTTCACGTACTGGCCACTAATAATTTTGTAAATACTGGCCGGTAATAATTTGTTCTATTTATTCTTTCAATGAATAAATTTGTGTTTAAAACTAAGAAGTGTATATACTAATACGTAAATATTTTTGTCCATACTAAGGCATATAACATATAAAAAAGGCATATACACATAAAAAGTCTAAACTAATACAAACAGAAATTGGATATCTTTATGTTTGCATTGGTCATGTGAAAACGTTTGGTCACGAAAAAATGAGCGTTTGAATTAAGCCTGTCGTTAAAAGACCAGAGCAAACATAATTTCCTATTTATAGTAGCCTCAGTACACAATTTTTGAATAACTCTAAAACAGATTTTATTGTTAAAAAATACATGTGAATTGAGAGTCTTCTAATTTTTGAAGCAGTTTCAATAAAGTCAATTTAGAGAACTGATTAATTTTTTTTTAAATACTCTGTTATAACAAAGTTTATCAAAATTGATTGTTTCCTATATATAATAGATTAACAAATTTTTATTATCAAACAAATAAAAATCACTATTAAAAATTCATTTCTTTTTTTTTAAATTAATATTAGTGATGATCATGAGTCATTACTCGCTAGAGGGGTTATCGAGAATGGTGTATAATGAGGCGTAGTTTATTGCTTCATACTTAGTGACCGATTCGCTTATCTTTATGGGTTGATAGCGACAATATATCGGGGGAGGGAGAGGGGTTAACTAGGTAGTAAAATTGAGATTTTTCTCGTCTAATCAACATACTCATAATTTGGGTATTGTTCGACATTACTATATCGTTTGCTTATCGCTTGTGTTATTTCACGGATATTTTAAATAGGATAAAATATTATATTGAGTAGCAAATAAATAGATAAATAAATAATCTTTAAAAATTTGGTACTCGTTTATTTTTTATTTTTTTTTATATGCATTACGTTTTTTTCTTTGTTTTTTTGACTTATTACTAGTATTTTTATGCACAGCCCTTAAAATGTTTATATACACTAAGCTACTAATATAAGCATTATAGACATCACAGATTGCACTATGACCATTACTATTATTTATCAAAGGAAGACTTTGTATAAAAGTCGTTTGCTTGAGCACCTGTGTCCCATTCGTGTTTCTACCGTGAAGTAGTTGTGTTTGCATGGCTGTGTTTTGGTTTGAAGGGTGGGATATGGCAGTGAATTTATAGGGTACAGAGGAATAACATCTGAGTCCTCAAGAATGGCAACGCATGGGGAGTATTATGGGCGAAACAGTATACTCTGTTATGTTCATGGTAGTACTCATGTATATAGGAGCCGGTTGTTACTTTCCATCAGCTGACGGCCCAGCTTGTTTGCTATTCTAAGTTACATAAAAAATGACAACAATGGTACGGCTCCTGCTTTGCTAGTTCTAAACACCAAGTATTATTAATCTATTATTAAATAAATAAATTACGTAATTAAAATAACTGTTTAAAATGCACAATTATTAAAATATATTAGTATCTTTGCTGATTGGAATTAATGTTATTAGAGGAGCTAGGTACCATTAAGGAGGTTAATTTAGAATCTTAATTAATTAATACCGCAACTTCCGCAGGTCGAAACATCACGCACATTTTTATTACTACTTCATAATTCTATATATTTTTGTAAATATAATAAATAACAAACTTATGGAGCGGTTCACGTTCTTATTCCTGCCAAGGAGGGAATGCTCGTCCTGCTTCCGTGTTTCCGCAAAAATTCAGAGTCTTTCTAGAGAGCGCTTTTTGTCTTAGGTACCACAGTCATTTTTCATCAGGCGCCGTAAAGTCCAAGCGCGAACAAATCGTTCAATAAAAAAAAACAATAGCTTGAATTGATAAATAGACTTACCAGTATTGTTGTTGTTGTTGTAGTGGTGGGCCGGAGGCGGCGGTATGTAGTCCGGCAGCTCGGGCAGGCATACGTTGCTCTCGTACATATTCGGCGGCACGTTCGCGAGCAACGAACGCTCTTTTTCTACATCTGTAACAATACAAAATCTATTGAGTTCTATATATATTTTCTAAACTTTTATTGTTTCTTTTTTGTCTTCGCCAATTTACAATAAGCCTATCTCTCAGACATTCAAAGGTTTTAATTTTCAATAGACTTCAGAAAGAAGGAGGTTCCCAAATCAGTTGTATTTTTTGTATATTTGATACTAACTCCGTAATAAACAATAATAAGTTGATAATAAACCGATATGGTTTTTTTTTTAAATCTAAAACTTACAAATTGGTCCCATAGAAATTTTATCACAATTAGTTCAGAAGTTCAGTTTTTAGATAAAAATGACTGGTTTTGTCACAATTAAAGTTGGTTTTTTTGTGGAATACAATTTTTATTTATATAATTAATTGAGAACCAGCAATAATTAATACATCATCATTATATTGGACGCAAAAAAGCTGGGTATTTGGCACATTTTGAATGATATGAAATCTCTCATTTATCAAATCAATGGATATATCAATATCAATATGACAAATCAATGGATATTACGAGTAAAAAATGGGTCAATTTTACCTTTCTGCAGTATTTCCAGATGCTCCCAAAGTATGTCGCCCATGAAGGCTGGTGCGCGGGCGACGAACTCCTCTCGTCCCATGGCACATATGTCTTTGCCTTGCGCACGTGCGAACTGTTGTAGCGCCACGCCTTCGAGCGAGAATTCCCGGGCAGCCCAACGGAGCCACGCCGCTACAGCACCCTCGCTCCATTGTCGGGGATCTAAGGGCATAACAAATAAAATAAATATTTTGGTTTTATTATTCTTACAAGTATATATACTATATAGTCGTAGGTGCCGTGTAATATTCGAGAATAATTCTTAAAAATACCTATTCTTATCTATTCTAAACGATATTTGAAATTTGAAATTTTATTTTAAAATAAATGTTACAAACATTTTTAAATATAGGTGAAACCCTGCTCCTTAAATAGGTAAATCCTGTATAAATTATATTTAAATCATTGAATTTTTTTTTTTAAATAATAACAAGTGTCTTTTTTATTTTTGGATTTGTTCGACTAATGCTTATAAGATATGATACTATTTTAAGTAGATAGGTATTGTCATTACAATTATAAAATTTGCTTGAAGTTTGCTATTTTCTCGTGAAGACATAATAAATATAAGGTGGAAGTCAAATATGTAAATGGCAGTATTGAGTTCCTGTGTTTATTTTTAGTTTCACTAATTAAAAAAGCAATAATTATATGTCCTTACAATTTTATAATAGTAAGTATCTATAAGCTATATAGAACGTCATAGTCTTAACTACTATGTAAAGATATCCGATATAAATTCAAAAGATAGGTACCTATCACCGTTCGATAGATTTACTTGTATTATTTTAAACTCAGTAATTATTATACATGAATGTTTATACTCGTAAATATAATGGAGTCCTATATCAAATAGTAATAAATATACAATTGTTAGTTGGTGGCGATGCAAAAACGATTAGCCGGGCACCGAACCACCACATTGCTCAACAGCGGAACTTACCACAGCGCAGCACCGGAAACGTGGCGACCTTCACGCTTAATGTACAAGTAAACGCATGTCTTTCTAACTGTTTAAGAATCCCAATTTAGATTCATGGATTATTATGATGAATTGTTATTCATCATTCAGCGATTTATTGTGAGTGGACACGGCTTACTATTATGTATGTTTCCGAATAACTTGCATAGATTAAAAGATAATCTTTAGAATACCGATTCGAACTCACGTTCTGTAATATTAAAGATACATAAAAAATATTTCAATGTATACAAAAGTAGCATGAAAGCTGCACAGGAATACCATTAGAATTGGTTCAAAATTGACAAGATATCGTGAATTACATAAAAAAGAAATGAAATTAGAACCTACTTTTGATGTCAGTTCAAAAACTTGGCTTATTGTAAGTTGCTTTATTTGTCAAATGCACTTGTAGAAGCCTTGTAGGAAATTAAAAATAATCGATATATTGATTCTTTAATATTGACTTAGAAATATATAGGAATAATAAAAAAAGAGAAAATCGAACATTGAATGCGTTCAATTTAAATTCCAGAGTCACATCGATTGCTTGCCCTGAATCGTCGGGGAAAAAGTAAATCGATATAATCGATACAAATTGCTTCTAGGTGGGGAATTCGAGTTTTTCTCCGTGAACTGGCGAGAGCTTGGTAATAATAAATAATTAGTTTAATTACGGCTTTTAGTCCCCGGTCGCTAGGGCTCAGTGTTTGAGTTACACTGAAATATACCATCAGGTAGGTGAATGATGTTGAGAAATCAATACGCGAAGATTTTACATTTTAATACGTCGTTTAAAAGGGACTTGACATGCCATGTCGGGGACTTTTATTATTTTATGATGCAATACGTTCTTTAATTAGGTAGGTTTTTTCGACAATTTGTCAACATATGTTTTTTCAATTTTATAGTAAATACTTTCTTTATATTTTTTTCTTATCAATTTGTTCACATGATATGTAACTGTGTAATTCACTTTATATCTTACATCCGTCTTTAAGAATCAAATTAAAAAAAAAAAAGCTTTATAGTTGAAACTGATATATACATTCACATTTGCTATTTAAAATATTTAAGCTAAATAAAAGGTTTAAGATATTTCGTTGCTAAATTTTTATATTGCAATTGTTGCATATCTTACACATACTTTAAGTCAATCCTCTGTATCGCTATAGAAGTAAAACAGAATTTTGTTTTATTATTGTTATATTTAATTATATATTGATTATATAATAATATAGTAAGTATTACTTCATATTTTCTCAATTCAATAATGCATCACTTATTTATTTCTAGGTTTGCCCAATGGTTGACTGGTAGAGAACACCGTCCGGTGTTAAGTCCGTCAAATGTAACATACAATTTTACCGTGCATTGAAGTTAAAAAGAATATGCTAAAACTTATTAAATGATATTTATACTAAAACACAATGTTTCTAGTGCCACACGTTTGAAATCATAGTCAACACGCTCTAAGTCAGGGTAGGTTGTTACTTACCCTACATGTATAGTTACTAATGCAGTTATTATCGATCCTAAAAAGAAAACTGTAAATTAAGCTAAGGTTCCCAAATAAACATTTTTTTCCCGTGGGTGTAGTTTACTAACTACACTTATGAGTTACACTATTTTCAGAAAACATCAAAATATATTTAGAAAGTTTCTTCTTTCTAAATTTTGTAACAATTTTTATTTAAATAAGTATATTAGGAATTATTTTACTTTATTTCTCGTTCTCGATCTTGTAAAGGGGTAAACGTATAACATATAAAAATAATCTAAAAAAGTAACAACAAACTATTTCATCGCATTTATATGTTTTGTTTGTGACGAACGTAAGTTACGAACAATATTGCATTTACATACGACTCGAGCACATCACTAACAGAAGCTTGGTTTGCCCGTCGATATGGTAATAGTGGATTTCATTAACAAGACGATCGGTAGATAACGTGGTACGTCTCTGTATGATCAGCATCATGGATGGGGGCAACTACTTTTGCGTTAACCACTTTATTAATAACTAGTGTTGACCTGCGACTTTGACTTTGTGATCAGGTATATTGATTAATCAGGATAATAAGCCTATGTTATTCTTTATCTTAAATAATACGTGTATGTTATATAATTTAATGATAATTCAATCATTAAGATATAATTAATACAGAAATACAAGGTTCTTTATTTAACCTTTGTTTTGTTGCTTTGTGTTAAATAAATTTATATTATTATTGTATATTGTTTTATTTTTCAACTGTTTTTAACTGACTTCAAAAAGAAAGAGGTTGTCAATTCGGTATTTTTTTATGTCTATTACCTCATAACTCCATCGTTTCTGAATTGATTTGGAAAATTATTTTTTATCTGAAAGGATATACTTACAGATTAGTCCCATAGAAATTTTATCAACATCAGTTCTGTGGTTAAGTTTTTGAATCACAATAACTGGTTTTACCATAATTTTGTAGCTCACGATCTTTAATTATTGTGTAAACAAAACCTATAAACATTTACGATAAAATTAAAGTTCCTAAACTTTTTCAGCAGCAATCTAAATATATAGTATTAATCAAATTGAAAGCAATTTCTTTTCACTACTGTCAGGTATATCTATGTTGCTGTCTGTACCTACATGAGTCCCTAGTATTGATTGTGTTAACAACAAGATTCATCTCGTGTCCCTCCCTGCTGATCGCTGCGAGATAACCAGTTAACAACCACCGCTGTTCACTGGCTGCATATGTACACTATCTATACAGCATTTATGGTAATCGTCGTCCGCTGGCTTACCTTCGTTACTGTGTTGATAACAGCTTTCTTTATGAATAAAAATGGAATAGTAAATCCACCTGCACTATTGGTTAATGCTGTTGAGTTAGGGGGGAGGGATTGTTAGTAATACAGACTACCAGTCCTATTGCTAGTAATGTACCTGGAATTCAGCACAATGGCTTCCAGTGGGGACCACGTGGAGGTCGACCTGATAGTGTATATTGATAGCAATGAGGACTAACCTCCCCGTTACTAACAATCCCTACCCCCCGCTGAATTCCAGGTGTATTCATCACGATGGGCTAACTGAGTTGCGTTTTCCTTTTTTACTGGTGTCCCGCCAGCGCCAGCATATAGTACCGTTAACGCAAGCGAGGTTACCATTCTACTATCATTCATTAAAAAAATATTTTCCTTTTAGTTTAGGGGCACTCTTTATAGATAAAAGCATTTAACAATGCATTAATATGAAGTGTAGTGGTATTAAAGTATAACAATAAGAAAGGTTGAGTTTTGTTTGTGTATAATATAGCAATAATTAAAGATATAAAGTTTTAGTTGTTTGGGTAATTAAAATTCACAATGGTTAATTAATATGCATGACTTTACTGAAGGATGTTTTTATCGAAAAATGTAAATTTTTAGTTACGTGTACCAATATGTTTGAAAGTAATTGTGCAACAAAAATTGTAAATAATATTTAAAGTAATAAAAGATTTTCAATTATAAACTTTTATATACATATTACATATATTCTTCTTCTTGAATCGGAAAAGTTGTTAAGATCTATAAACTTTGATTTTAATTCAAATAAATATAAAGATAGAAGCAATTTTGTTACTTTTGCATTGTTGCCTTGAACCTGAGTATTTAAAATTATTACATCTGAATCTATGTCCGATTGAAGTACGTTATTAATATTTTTATTTATTTAAAGCAATTTACAGGAATGAAAAGAGGCTCATCATGAGTAAATCTCATGAGATGGAAAGAAAAAAGGAATAGTATTTACAATTATATATATATATATATATTTTAATATATGAGATAAGAAATAGTTCATGCACTTCTTTATTCTAAGTATTACTTAAAGGTAGATACTACAAATATTATTGAGTGGAGGCAAACAAACTCACTTTCACATTTATTATGTAGGTATGTAGATTAGTATGCCCATAATACACTATATCATACTATTCATAAAAATTGTTTATTTTTTTGTGTACCTACGCGAAACCGTGTGAAACCGTGTTGGTCTGTAGTTTTATTTTAATAAATTTTAAATAATATTCGTATATACAATAATCAGAATAAAGTTTCCCGCCGATTTCATTCGTAACAACTTAATAAATGAGGTATTTTTACAAATACATTCGGCAATACTACATGTAATTTATGAAACATCGTGCATTTGGTGCTTGGACAACTTCGCCGACTGGTAGTAAAATAAATGACGGCCCGCCATTCCATGTTATCTATAAGAAGATTAAGTATTAATGAGGTGATCTTTTTGCATTTAAATTACTCAAAGTTAACTGTCTGTTGTGTTTAGTTTGACCGGTTTGCTCGTTTTTTATTACTTCGCTTATTATGCTGAACAATTAAAACGAATCGAGTCGCTTTGGCAATATAAATAACTAATTAATGTTGAAATTTGTCGATGAATAATGATAGTATTGGTATTACGTTAATCGATTATATTATTGTTGAAAATTTTGTATTCAAATAAAATTTTGTAAAAATAAGTGCTGTAAGTATTGTAAATACTAGTACCGGTATTTGGAATTTATTTTTTTTTATAAATTTTTCTTAAATTTACACATAGGTATTTAGGATAAAATAAAATTAAAATAATATGGAACTCTGCTGTGAGGAGCTGGTGTCTGTAATAGGTTTAGACCTGTAGTACAGATCACCAGACTCCCAACCGATATGTGTTTAAATAATAATGAAACAAAATGCATTCCACTGAAATTAACATTCCAAAAATATATGTCAATAGATTTAGAAAGTACTGTCATAAGAAGAAGAAGAGAGGAGAGGTCTTTGCTTTGAACTGTATAATGTAGGCAAAATAATAAAATTTACTCGTGTTTCTAAGGTAGCGTCGGAAAATATGTTAAATTATTAAAAGAAGCACTTCGTTATATCTATTTTTACTCAATAATTTTAATTACTTATTTTTTTATGATATATATAGAAAAACATGTTGGTTTGTAGTTTAGGTGAAATTTCTTGCATGACATGAATCAACATAAAGTATTCAGTTGAAGTATGTATGTTTCAATATCAAGTTATTATTTTAGCTTTTCTTTATATGAACACGTTAATAATATTGTTAACAAAAATATAATAATACGTAACATAAATGGAGACAATATAATACGAAGTTCACACACAATTACCATGGTGTGCATGATTTTGTGTCGGTCGCGCTCGCGCACCGCGCCGCGCCGGAAGCGCGAATAGACGCGGCACAGACGCACGCACTTCCGCTTATGGCGGGCATCGAACCTGCGACCTGCCACCTGTCCGCGCTCTGATCTTTATGCAGTTACACTTCATGTCAGATTTACAGTAGATTCAGATTTTTATTGGGTTTCGTCCTATGACGTCTCGTCCTATGCATAAAATATTATTTGTGTTTTGACACATTGTACTTATTCTACATTTTAAGTTTGTTGTAGTCAATAGTTTTGGTTACTTCTATTGAGAAATGAAGGAGAGAAGGTCTTGTGTCAATCTATGTATAAAATGTTCAAACTTGATGTTGATTTTTTATCGAAAAGACGAAAAATTACAGAGGAAAATGTTTAATTTTTAAACGACACACAACAATATATATACTCATAATAATCGATGTTGATCATTTGAGATTATTTTTCAGAGGAGGAGAGGGGCTAATCCCTTAAAAAGGTGTATATGTACTTTCAGACATGTATTTGTTAAGTTTCGCTTAGACCCTGGTGTCGGTATCAAACGATTCTGGGGTGAGTACTTCCCATCCGATTCCCTTTAAATATGCCTATGTCAGTTCCTTTTCATGTCTAGAATAAATGATTAAAAAATAAAAAAAAGAGGTTTATGAGATCAAAAGACTAGGGTTTCCGATATCGGAATAGGAAAGAAATAGTCCTGAGTTGTCTTTAGATTTTCTTTCTCATTATCCTAGTTTTAGAACCAGACAATTGTATACCATTTATTATTACTTTTATTTATATAGAAGCATAGTAGACATCGAAAATGGCGAAGTAAGTGTCCGTCGGTGCCAACAATGCGTGTGGCGTGGCGCATGGCTCATGGCGGCGACACGTTGCCATTACCATATGTAAATTATCCGGCATTATACGACCGCTTCACTAACGTTTTTGCTTGTAAACTCAGGTATTGTATAGAAGAGATATAAACGATGCTTTCTAATACTGTTTAACTACTGCTCAAAGGCACACATTTTATAAAAGAAGTTTTTATAAAAATATTTTACTTGTGGCTGAGCTTTTTATTTTTTCTATTTTTAACCGGCTTTCAAAAGAAGAAGAGTAAATTCGTTCGTTTTTTTTATGTGTATGTTCCGCAACTATATCACCCATTTAGAACTAATTAATATTACAATTAATAGAATTTCTCTCACGTTAGTCCTATACAAATTTTGTGTCGATCGAATCTGCAGTTGCTTTTTGAAAGGTAAAATCTACTTGTAGACACGATTTTGAAATTAAAACATTATGTTTCTACGAAATATCTTGCAAGTTAATCGATGTTATTTGTCATAAGTGTCAGAATATACACAAACAGAAGTAAATAGTGAAAAAAGATACGAAAGAGGCAGTTTAAGCATTTGATGTTTCTTTGTTTCTGCCTACCCCAATGAGATTTTTATAAACTTGTTACGATTTATTTTTGTAATTTGGAGAATTAGGTAAGTTCTTAAAATTTGTAATGTTATTTTTTTAACAAAATATACTGATGTTATGTCCCTACATACGACCTGTTTGCCTTTTATGAAGTCGTAACGGTGGTCATTTTATAGCTGTAATAATGCTGAAATTAACAACTTCTGTAGGGTTTGTTAATTTCCAAGACATGAACAGTATTTTAACTCTGAATATATAATTGAAATACATATTCATTAGTGCTTTGAGAATCATACTTTATAAGATTTATAAAAATTAAAAATAGATTTTTCTCGGCTCTCAGATCTCAAGCGATTGAAGTCTATACAGTTGTATTTTATTGCATTTTCTTCCTGATCATAAAAATGCTTTGGAGAATGATCGGATTGAACGTACATTTATTTGTATCTATTGCTGTGAAATAAACATTTCTTTCTATATTTTGTTAAAATAACATTTATGATGTTGTTGAGACTTTGCTTTGATATGACGTCTGGCCAGCGTGGTGTAAGCTATCCTTCTAGCTGTATCCAATAGCAGAACATCAATAGAATGATCATAATGATTGCTTTTCAATTGAGACAATATTTTTTCCTGATTCTAAAAATCAAAGCATCGTTAGGGCATCAGATTTACGTCGCAAATACCTGAAGGACCATTAACAGTTTACAGCGAATATCTTTTAACACGAACATTTTATTGTATATATGTATTATATACATAGATTGTATAATAATTAAATATAAAAAAATGCTACTACAAGTTTATATTTTGTAAATTTCAGTTAAGAGGATGGTTAGTAGTTGCCATGCCACGGCCTTGTACAACAATGATAATATTCCAGTACAGCAGCTTACCTTTGGGGACGCCGAGGCGCAGTTGCTCCTTTTCCCAAGAAGCAAAGGTGGCCTTCAGCGCCTCGGCCATCTTCTTATTGGTGCCGGGCGTGAGCGGCGGCACCTGCGATGGGATGTCTGCAACAATGAAGAAACAATGTTACGTACTGGCTTCCTTTTATTTATTATTATAGATTAGCTTTATGACAATTAAGAGGTATTAGGAACAGCTCATAATTCTTATAAGAAACTGAATGCATATGATTTCCCTATAAAGGTCAAATTACTACGGCATGGGCTTTTTCAAAAAGAGTGTTAATGATAGCGTTGTTTACCAAGGTGAGTGCTGCACACCATTCAAATTCAAATTAAAATCAGCTTTATTCAAATAGACTAATTTACAAGCTTTTTAAATCGTTATCTATTATGATGCTACTACCGAATTTGGAATGTTGTTATCTCCTGAGAAGAACCCGCAAGAAACTCAACAGTTATTATTTTAAATCTCAGTTAACAGTTAGTAAACACATGTTTGATTGCGACCGTTGTTTTAACAAAACGTTTTCTTTAGAAAAAAAATGTATGTCACATACGTATATATATATATGTACGCTTGTACACTGATTGGTTCAGGTTAGACTATAGGGTTATTTATCTAGTTGTTTCTAATGACATTCACTTGGTGTTAGTAAAATTTAAACAGTATTTATTTATACTTTGGTATAATTATTTAAGAATTCAATGAAAACAAAATATATATTAGAAGTTTTTGTGAAGTGTCCCACATTCACGTCATTTCTTATTTGTTTAGAAAAGACTAGCTTTGATCATGAAAAATAGAAATTGTTGACAAAGTTTTTGGCACTTTGCTAATTAGTTAGTATCGTAGAACGAATTACTTTGTATCGAAGCGGTTCGATAAAAATAAATATTAATAAATATTCCACAGGTCTCAATCATGTTGCCGATGAAGACCTACTTAAATCCTCTTTAGTATCAAGTCTTCCAACTTATTATCGCGGACATGTTTTACGTACCGCTCATCAGCCCAGATCATTATCACCCGGATTAATTACTTTATCTACGCTATTTATACCAAGTACCAAAGAACAAATTAATAGCGGAGTTTTTGAGGCTTCATGGCTTCGAATAAAATAAATCAGAGATAAACAAGCAAGCAAGATTGAATCTTCAATGTCTGTGTACATGTACGGACGCAGGCTTCATTCATAAGTGCGGCTGGTTTTTGTTGTGAGTGTGCGTAGGTGTGCCCATGTGTGCGAGTTGCGCTTGCGCACCTGCCGACCAGTTCTGAGATGCGGAGATTTGTGCACCTCTCCCACGGTCGCTGCCCGCTTGAGCTCTGATCTGTTCTAGCTGAACCTCGTTCTGATATAATTTAAATTTTTCTTTCTGTTTGTGTCTATATAAATTGCTTTAGAATTCGTCCAACTTGGTTGTTACGTACAAATGAGCGTTTCTTAAGACTGCCGTTGTAATATCACAATTTGAAGTAACGTTCATCTACTTTAATTGCAAATATATTGTCTGATCTGATATTAATTGAATTTGTCTTATAATTTTATACTTTATAGTAACATGTGCTCACATAAGATATTTTAAGGTATTAATTTAATACTATTACAATAACTAATTACAATGGTCAAAAGCATAGAAGATGGAAGTGCACATAATCAAAATATCCAACAGCTATCTGATTGAATTATATCCAACCAGATATTACGCTTTCTAATTAGTAAATTTTGTTCTAATACTAATTTCAAAATAATTTTAATGGGGAAAAATCAATGCGTTTTTTCGACGCTGCTTATTTTTTAAATAAATATTTTTTTATGTCTGAAGATGGAATAGTGTACTCGCTTGTGCTAATAACATACAATGACGGGGCACCAGTGAAGGATGAAGGGATGAAAATGTAGTCAGATCAGTAGCCACATTATGACGAATTCACCACGAATTAACCACGATGGTTTCCAGGGGCGACTACGCGGATAAATGAAATATCGATCTACGCGGACAAAAACGAGAGATCGATCTTATAGGGATGTAAATGGATAAACAGCTCAGTAGACAACTGTTTGGATTATCTGTGCTTGCAGTATCTCCGTGTTGCTATTACGCAAATCTTAAATGCTATTTTTTAACAACCCTTCTGATTTTATTGTAGTATAAACAAGGATAAATTTTCCTTTTGCCATTATAGTAAGAATGCCTATGTAGGCTGGCATGTAGCGAACGATTTGTGTCTCCGGTGTAGCCGGCGGGTCCCCGGCAGTTGCGAATCATGACGTTAATTGCAGCGAGACGACCGTTGTGATTTACTCGCAATGAGAACTATAAGCAGGTGCGCGGCGCACTTGACTTGCCAACACAATGCAATGCTCGCACGATGCGAGATATACTTATTGATAAGTGAAATGAGTTTATTTTTAAATAATTTAACATTTTGTTCCGTAAAAATAGTGACTTCAAATTTGTCGACTGCAAAAAAAATATTAAAATCAATTCAGAATTAGTGTATTTATTGCGCAATAAACTTACACATAAAAATATATGTGAATTGAGTATCTCCTCCTTCTTAAGAAATTATTATCAGGTTGGATGTTCTTTCGGGAAATGTTAAAAAAATATTTTTATCTTTTAATTGAACATCTTGGGGAAATTTTGTCAATTCCATAAGTACATGTGTTACTACGCTACGCTGTTTCTATTATGAAAAATTGAAAGGTGAATGAGGCAATTTGAAATTAAACTCTTTAGCATCGTTTCAAGGAGTTGAACATTTTCCTAAACAGACATGAGTTATGTAAAAATAAAAAAAGACAGTTAAATACAGATTTATTAATCATTGTGACAATTACATCAGATAGAATGGCAATTTTAGTTACTTCGCGTTGTTTTGTATGGATTGTTTCCATTTATTAAAATATATCAAAGGGTTTAATCTGCAGTGCCATTGTGTGAGATAAAATCATATGAAATGCTTCACAGTGATTGTATCGAGCAGGACACCTGCATGTTGGCCATTACATATGCATATATCAACATAGTGTTGGTATAGTCATTGCGCAAAGATGTTGATAGCTATATAAGCGTTATTTTAGCATAAATTACATTATAAATTATTTATTTGATTAATATTATAATCAGCTCTATAAACATTATAATATAAGTACAATGAATATATGTTATTATACTTAAATAATAATAAAATTATTTATTACTAAATTGATTTTACCTCAAAGTACTTAAGTATATAACAACATTCCTGACCCAGCGGTAGACTCATAAAGAAGTCAAGATTTAAAAGAGCTAGTAAACAAGTCTATTTAAACAAACATAAATTTGATTCTATTAAAAAGCTTAGTATAAAATTAAATAAGTGACGTTCGTGAATTCAAAACCATTGTTTTTATAAAATTAGTTTATTACTGTAGCACATAATCTGTAGATTTGGTTTCATGCTTAAGTAGAAATTAATTAAATAAAAAAAAAAATTAGGCTTAAATTCTTCTATTAAGATTGCTAAGGGAAATATTTAAAGCCACCAATTACGAAGATTCTCAATCTATAGGCGTTTACGGGAATATACGTATGATTCATATAAAAGTATCAGATATGTGACTTTTCACCAGTGGATTATATTTTTTTATCTGATATGGTATTGGGCATGTATTAATTGTATCAAAATACAAATTAAATAATTTATTTTTCTAAAAAAATTGGAGGTTTTGATCTTTTTTTTATTGCTAACCAATACATATAATATGTTATCTGTGAACATAATAAATTATTTAAAAAAAAACTTATATCAGATAAATATCTAAACAGTAGTCGTGTTCGGTGATTATAATTTATTGTATACAAGCGTATCACAAATAGTATAGCTAGGTACTAGGTACCCGTGAGATTTCTGTGATATACATCTTAGAAAAATTTTGCTTAAATTAATTATGGTTTTATTGATTCTTATACCGGTTATACAAGTTCATAAGATGATCGTTTCGTTTTACAAACGAGTGAATATATCGTCCAACGCCTGCTTACCGTCGCTTCAATAGTCAATAGCTGAACCATTTATTCAATTTAAGCTCTTTACAAGCACTTATGAATGTCAAATTAAATTAATCTACAATGCAATGGGAATATAATACAGCTTATTCTCAGTTCTCCATGTTGAATACTAATCGTGAACTACTTCTGCTCGATGACCGCATGCAATTATTTGCAGTGGACACAGCGCGCTCACGTTGACATTTACCCTTTGGAATGGCATTCTTGAGATGAGGCAAAAACTTTATGATGGCGTGGCTTCCGTTTCCGTAATTAAAGTAATTAATCCTGAATGATTTCGGTTTAATTGTCTGGAGGCTTCCAGATGGGCCCCATCCGTTGGTATATAGTATATAAACGCAGTGACAAAATCAATGTTTTGTAAAAAGGTTGCACTATACAGTTATAATCGGCCAATTGATATAATATGTGTATACTATGTTATCTACATAATAAATACAAGAACAGCATACATAAATTAGATATAATTCAGTATCGGCCAGTCAATCGTTATTTTGGCGTTATTAGGATGAGATACACGGACTGTGTGGAGTGGATAAATAGATTTTTGTGTCTCGCAAAACATAATTCTCGTAAAGCAAAATCATTTGAATGAATTTGTGTCTAAAAATATTAGTGATTTATAGCATGTTCCGTTTGAAGTTTGTTACGTCGATTCAATTTTATAAAAAAAATCTTTAAGTAAAAAATTTTAGGTAAAACCTATCTATTATATAATCTCTACATGTAGTACTTAAATATTAGTTTTTTTCATAAGAATTGAAAAATTAAACAAAATTTGAACCGACTATGACACATTTTGAAAAATAAAAATTAGATTAATTGATTGAATATTTTATATAATTGTTAAAGCTTAAGTTATTTTAAAACATACATACATACATTTAGTTTAAACAATTATTTTTATTGCTTGTTAATACTCAGTTGTATGTAGTATAAAGGTTTGTATTTAAGACAGAACAGCAGGTACTAGTGCAAACATAATCAACTAAAATACTCTGGCACGGGTGCCATACGCAGTCATGAACGCAGCCAGCTGACAT